TGATACTTCTGTCTTTAAATCAAGGATTGTTAATGTTAGATGAAGACCCGAGACTTTGACTCAATTTATATATAAATTGGGTTGAAAATATTATTTATTGTTGAATAAAAAAATATGTGAATATATATAGGAGTATTATAACACTCGGCTATATTATATAAACTAATATGCTAAACAAATAAATCGAGTCAATAAAGGGGGACAGAATTAGAATTCTACGTGTGGGAATGCTGATATAGAAAAAAAAATAGAGAAAATAAAATAATAAAGAAATACAATACATAATTTATGGAATGCAAAAATAATTATTTTCTCTTAAATAACCCTTCGTTTGAATGGTCTAATTAAAACTCTTTTAAAATCTTTAGACCAAAATGTAAACTCTTACAAATTTAACCTTAAATTCCCAACACGTAAGCAGCGGATGGCTCATCAACACATCACAGCGGGGAATCTACCTTGCGAGACCCCGCTTCTTCCCAGCAACTCCAACCTTTGCCTTCTAGCGCAGTCCTCTCCTTACTTGACATTATCCAAAATTAAAAAAAAAAAAAGAATTGAAAAAAGAAAAGAAAGGAATTTTATATATTAATTAAAATAAAATAAATAATAATTAAAAGAATGAAATCAAATCTAATAAATATTTAAAAGGGAAAGAAGAGCAAGCAGTAACGAAAAAGTATTGGTGATTATGATTGTCAATAATCCAAGCTGTTTATTCAAGACCTTTGAGTTTCTTTCAAATTGTTTGTGTTCTCATGGACAAATGTGAAGATCCAGCTAAAAGTCATGATAATATTTAACACAATTCCCTCACTTTTAACTACCAATCCTCACCTGTCAAGACTTCCCCTTCATCTGCATCATTGCTTCCATCCTCTCACTTACAAGGACCATAAGCCTTGCTACAACCAAGATAATATATGAAAGTTAACCAAAAACTCAAACCAGCAAGGAGCCAATGATAGCATTCATAATGCCCCTTGTTGATGTAGCTTGCAAGCCAACTTTCCTGATCTTCTCCCTTGATGAAGTTGCGGACAATAGCTACTATTAAGCTCGCTGCCAATTTTGTGGCAGACAAACAGATTGGAGGCTACTCTAGACATGCTTTTAGCCAACTCAGTATTGAAGAACTCATTCTGAACAATACCACAGAATCAGAAAATTCAGTTATGACAAAATTTAGCAACAACCACGTTGCTGACATGTGTAGCACGGCATAAGGGCCGTCTGAAAATCCTTCCATGGTTGCGGTTTTTGGCCAAACACTCTATAATTTCCAATGCTGCCATGGCAGTAGAAGACGATAGAATGCCAATTCCTATTCTTTGTTAATTTTAAGCTGAGACGAGCTGGCTTTCTCCTCATTTTTTATGCCTGGAGTAGTATAAAAGAGTGTTGAAGTACATTTGTAGGCATCAAGACTCGACCATGTTAGGATTATCTTGATTAGTGCTTTAAGTTCTTCCTCTACTTCATCTACTGCACAAAGATTCCATGGATCTGAAGCTCTTCCATCTGGGATCAAGTTTTCTTCAGGGTTTTGAATAGCGCAAGCTTTATTTAGAAACATAAGACAGAACAATGACCTTTTGGGAGTCCTCTTAAAATCCTTGGTTTGATGCCTCTTGTCTTGGGCTTGGGATTGGTGACTCGATACTTATATTTCTAAAGGAGGCCACCAAAACTCAAGCAAATTCAGCTAGCCAGCTTGCCTTAGCCTCTGACTTGACGTAAATGGGAGAAGCCAAGAAGAATGAAAGAGTTGACGAGATCACAAGCACCACAGGAATGCCAAAACCCACCTTCCTTTATTCTCTTACAATTCTATATTTCTGAAATTAAAACAATATTTTGGATTTCAATCTCTTTTTGAAATAGAATTGTAAGTTTATGGATTCTTTTTTTATTTTTATTTAAAAAAAACTTGGTTAAATATTTTTGTTAAAACTATTTTTGGAGAAAAATGATCCTTGCAATTACTGAATAATTCATACAGAAAACAGGTATTACATCTTTGATAAATTCTGCATTATTTAAGAATACCAGAAAGCCAGAGCATCTAGAATCAATAAATAGCACTCCATAACTTACCCTGCCACCCCATCAATGGAGATTTCCCTGGGTGACCCTTTGCCTGAAAATGCTTAATTGACGACTTCTTAAATCGAAGTTTATAATATTAGCTTTCAATTGATCCAAGTAAAAACACTTTACAAAACATGTGTTAAGAAACTGTAATTCACAGTTTTTCATTATAAGTTTTTCTCATGTTTTGTCCTTTTAAACTTGGTATGGTGTTTTAATATATATTTATCTTTTATATATAGGTACGTGGTAAAAGAGACTCATTTAGTATCATAGAGAAAAAGCACACAAATATATATAATTAATAAAAAAGAAACTTGTTAATAAACAAAATTAATTGTGTGCACACAAAAAAATCAAAATAAATAGTACAATTATAAAACTACTATAACGAAAACACACATTAAAAAAATAAAATATTCAATTTCAATTCATTGAACTTAAAAAAATCAATCTAGCATATTTATTAAATAAAAACGCACTCAAAACACAATAATAAGCATCAAAGAATTTTCAAACAAAAAAAAAGAATCAAAATAAATAATAAAATTATAAAACAAGCATACAGAAGACATAAGACATTAAATTTAAATTTAATAATTTAAATTTAATGATACCAAGAAAATAATTTAGTATATCTATTGTAGAAAAAGATTCATGCATCCCAACAAAAATAATAACTATAATGATGAAATACATATAGCACATAAAAAATCAATAGAACCATAAATATGCTTCAAATAACCCAATCTAAAAAATAAATACAATAAAAACTAAGTGAGTAAAAATAGCATACAGAAGACATAAGACATTAAATTTAAATTCAATGATACCAAGAAAATAATTTAGTATATCTATTGTAGAAAAAGATTCATGCATCCCAACAAAAATAATAACTATAATGATGAAATACATATAGCACATAAAAAATCAATAGAACCATAAATATGCTTCAAATAACCCAATCTAAATTATTAATACAATAAAAACTAAGTGAGTAAAAATGTTAGAGAAATTTTTAAATGTAAATTTTTTTTAGCAGCGATAATTAGTGATATTTTATCAATTTTATTTTAGTGAAAGTTATAATAGTAAAACGATGGCAGTTAGAATCACATTAATAAAAATGATAATAGTTAAATAGTTGTAAGGGTTTTTAGATAATAATTCTTTGATTTTAAGTGTGTGTCTAGATGGAAGGTAGCTTTAACTTCTTCTTTTTCTTTTTTTTTTCTTATGAAATCCGTATAAAAATCATGTTGTTTTAATTTTTGAATGTTTTATGTTTAAAAAGTATTATATCTTAAAAAAGAAATCATTCTATCTTTAAACTAAATACACTCAAACGTCAATCTTGATGTCCATCATAATATTGAGATAGCATTATTAATCTTAATATATATTAAAAGTTCTTCAACCTTTTTTCTTTGTACATTATGTTTTCAATCTAAATTTCACTTTTTTAAATTAAAAAAAAACTGAAAGGTTCTAAATAATTGGTTTATATATTGTACTCTTTTTTTTTCAATGTTAGATGATAAAACCACTAATTTATTATCATATTCACACAATATTTTAATATTTAATGATATAAAAATACATGTATTAGTTTTTTTGTTGTTGATATATTTAAGTCTATGAAAAGAAAAATTTAGCGACATCTCTTGAGGAGAAATTTAACACAAGAAATTTTAATGATATAAAAGTACTTGAAAACCTAACATTTAATTCATAAAAATATATGTATAATTCAATGTTTTAAACAAGTATTTATTTTTGTGTTACAATCTATTTTTAAAATTATTTTTTATATAAAAAACATGAAATAATTTTTTAAAAAATTCATGTATATTTTTAATATATTGATATAAAAAATTAAAAAAAATAATTTTTTAATAAAAAAACTTCCATTACAATAACAAACACAAACACAAATTAGATAAGATGAACTCAACATGCTAATCATAATTATAAATAGTTTTTAAATGTTTTATGTTTAAAAAGTATTATATTTTAAAAAAAAATCATTGTACTTTTAAACCAAATACACTCAAACATCAATCTTGATATCAATCATAATATTGAGATAGTATTATTAATCTTAATATATATTAAGAGTTCTTCAACCTTTTTTCTTTGTACATTATGTTTTCAATCTAAATTTCACTTTTTTAAATTAGAAAAAACTGAAAGGTTCTAAATAATTGATTTATATATGGTACTCTTTTTTTTTTCAATGTTGGATGATAAGAACACTAATTTATTATCATATTCACACAATATTTTAATATTTAATGATATAAAAATACATGTATTAGTTTTTTTGTTGTTGATATATTTAAGTCTATGAAAAGAAAAATTTAGCGACATCTCTTGAGGAGAAATTTAACACAAGAAATTTTAATGATATAAAAGTACTTGAAAACCTAACATTTAATTCATAAAAATATATGTATAATTCAATGTTTTAAACAAGTATTTATTTTTGTGTTACAATCTATTTTTAAAATTATTTTTCATATAAAAAACATCAAATTAATTTTTTTAAAAATTCATGTATATTTTTAATATGTTGATATAAAAAATTAAAAAAAATAAGAACTTCCATTACAATAACAAACACAAATTAGATACGATCAACTCAACATGCTAATCATAATTATAAATAAATTAACATTTATGTTATTGAAGCCGATCCCAACCATGCAAGGGCAACCAGTTCTGTCCTAAAAATTACCTTAATCTTTAAAAGAAGAGTGTGGGGTTGGCGCTGGGGACTCGGGGGTGGTCGGGTGTTTTTAAGTCGTAGATCGAGTTGTCAGTTACACAACAACCGACATGTCATTTTGTCATTCTTATCCAATTTCATCTTCCACGTTTTCGAAAATAACAATAAAAACAAAAAACAAAAATAAAACAACGTTCAGCAATTGCCCTCCTCCACCTTCCTCTTCCTCTTCCTCATCGCGATCCTCTCTCTCATTCTCTCTCGTTTTCTGTTAGCTTTGTCGCCTCCTCTCCTATCGTCTCTTATCAGCTCTATCCAGCAAGTAAGTTTCTGCGCTAGATGCTTGAGAATGGAGAGAATTATAGGAGAGAAGTATAAATTAGGTCGCAAAATCGGAAGCGGATCCTTTGGTGAAATCTTTCTCGGTACTAGTTTTTCTTTAATCTCTCCAATTATTTACCCTAACTATTTACTCTATGATTGATTGATTTTCGGTTTTTTTAATCAGCTACTCACATTCACTCTGGTGAGATCGTTGCTGTCAAAATTGTAAGTCTCGATTTTTTTTTAATTTTGATTTTTGATCTCGATTTTTTTTTTATTATTAATCTTTAATTGTAATTAATTTGTAGGAAAATAGGAGTACGAAGCATCCGCAATTACTCTACGAAGCCAAACTGTATAAGATTCTTGGCGGGGGAAGTAAGTATTTTTCAGAAATTTTGTATGAGGAAATCTTGACTGTTGATTTTATTTTATTTATTTTAGGTAATTTAATTTGTGGAAATTGTGTTGTTCAGGTGGTATCGCGAATATAAAATGGTGTGGAGTTGATGGAGAAGATAATGTCTTAGTAATTGATTTGTTGGGACCGAGTCTCGAGGACTTGTTTGTGTACTGTGGGAGGAAGTTTTCGCTTAAAACAGTCTTAATGTTGGCTGATCAGATGGTAATGATCAATGATAAGATTCAGTTTTATAGTATTTGAATGCATTTCTCGGGCTTGGATGGTGAGTTTTGATTGTTGGTTGTTTGGTTTTTCTTAATGTAGATTGCGAGGATTGAATACATGCATGTGAAGGGGTTTTTGCACAGGGATATTAAACCGGATAATTTCCTCATGGGTCTGGGAAGGAAAGCTAGCCAGGTAATTGCTTGCTCTCTCTTTTTTGTGCATTTTGCGTAAAGTGCACCGCTTATATGTGGATGATTATTGGGTTTTTTTGTTAGTTAATAAATTTTCATTAATTTTGTTACGCGTGCCAGGTCTATGTCATTGATTTTGGACTTGCGAAAAGATATAGGGATCCAGCAACACACCAACATATTACTTACAGGTAGTAATTCTTATAATCAAGCTCATGTTTGATTTCTAGTGGGTTTTGAACATCTCTTCTCTCAAGTGTCAATGTGAGTATGAAAATGGTAATGCAGTTTTCATGTGAGAAAGAGGGTTGAATTATTTATGATTTTTGAAACTTTGTAGTTTAGCTTTGTACGTAGCTTCTGTTGTCATGTTTAATGGTTACGGTGTGGTATTTGCTAGATAACATTCAAAAGTGGTAGCCAGGACATTGCGTTTCTCATTCATAAAGCTTATATTATCTATGCATCAAATTTAGTTGGAAAAGGCTTGGTTTTGCGTAGTCGAGTTAGGCCTCTTATCTTCAGGGTTTTATTTTAAGATGATGTTACTGGCTTGTTGTTATTCTGGAGGTGTCTTTTATTTTGTTTAGCATCAAGATATGTACCTTTGCTGACGATGTGCATGCATCTATATGTTCCTTTTCTCAGCGCCTTTGTTTTTGCATATCATGTAAACCCCCCTTCCCTGAATCTTCATTTATCTACCATGATTGACTAAGGCTCCTTTTTCTCCTCTCTTTGCCCCCCTCAAAAAGAGAGAACAAAAACTTAACAGGAACTGCTAGGTATGCAAGTTGCAATACTCATCTAGGAATTGGTAAGTCAAAGATGTTTTTCTAGTGTGTTTGACATATCAAATGAACCATTTGTTCCATACTCATCTTTTATTTTCTACTCAGAGCAAAGCCGTCGGGATGATTTGGAGTCTATTGGCTATGTTCTTTTATACTTTTTGAGAGGAAGGTATGCTACTATGTGATCATTTTTGGAGGCTGTGATGTTTTAACAGGATATGATTAGTTGGTCTTTGATTTTATGATAATTGGTTTCTGTGCTTAGCCTTCCATGGCAGGGTCTGAAAGCAGCAACAAAGAAGCAAAAGTATGATAAAATATGCGAGAAGAAGTTATCAACTCCAATTGAGGTATGTGGTCAAATGCAATTAGTCAACTTGGAATTTGTATCCTGGATTTAGAGAGAGAGATAGTTGCCTTTTTCCCCTATGATAATAAGACTAGCCCCTCAGAAGGAGACCTTTTTCTCAAATGTTTTCATCAAATCCTATTTCTTGTCATATATCACATGCACACTCATCTGAAACCCAAAAAATATATTAGCGACCTGAAATTCATGGAATTACCAGCTTCTCAAAAAAATTAAGACTCCATAATCCATGTTATCTATTTGAAAGAAGCGAACCTCCTTGCATTTCCCCTGAATCAAGATATCCCAACATAGTTCCTGCTCCCTTAACATATATAGAGATTTATCTTCTTAAAAAGTCTGTGAAACCTACTAAATGCTTGGATAGCTCATTTGTCATGCATGGGAAAGAAGAAAAAGAGCTTCGAGAGTTGTGGTTTTGAAAATTGAATTCTGATACTGTTTTGGTTCCTTGTAATAGTTTGAATATCTACCTTCTATCTTTAATAGTCTGTTGACATCACATTTTCTTTTCTCTGGAGGTGCTTTGCAAGTCGCATCCTGTGGAGTTTGCTTCTTACTTCCATTATTGCCACTCATTAACTTTTGACCAACGGCCTGATTATGGATTTCTGAAGCGCCTCTTTCGTGACTTGTTTACTCGGGAAGGTAATTGTTTAATTAAATTGTGAGGAATTCTTTTTAATGTTGGTTTGGAGGGGGATGATAGGGAAGTTATGTTTGTTGGTCACTGAGGACTGCGAATCCTGGAAACTGATAACTGAATTGTTGGTCCATTACTTGGGTAGTCCATTTTGTTTTAGAGTCACATCCATGCAGGCCATCAGAGTTGACAGTTATATTCTATGGCTTCATCTACTTTTTTTTCCCATTTCTGGCAGGATTTGAGTTTGATTTTGTTTTTGACTGGACCATCCTGAAGTACAAGCAGACACAGAGGCCAAAGCCACAACCTCAATCATCTGTTAGTTATTCGAATCTTCTCTTTTTAAAATTTTTATAATGAGTCATGCAAAGACCTTTATTCTTGAGATAGTAATTCTTATTCTTTTTTTGTGGTTATTTTTCTATTTAATTTTTTTGAATTGGTCCAAAATTACCACCAAATCATTCTGTAAACTAATCCACTCTGCTTCTGGAGTGGCTTATTAATCTTCTTTTGATTTTTTCTTTTATGTGTGATTTTTCAGGACCTGCAGCCAAATTCTAGAGTGACGAGCAATCGAGCAATGGCAATGGATCTCAATAAGGATAAAGGTTAAATCTCAAGAATTGCCATTCTGTTCTTGTTTAATTTTCCATTATATTTGAATCTTGTGGCTTCCTGTTTTTTTTGCGGTGAGAAAGAGGGCTTTGGCTTTTTGCAGGAGTTGTGGGGAGGATGTACACCTTAATAAAATCAAACCAGTCCATTTTAAAGGAGCACATTAATTCTTAATTCACTTGCATGGGAATTGGTTGTAGGCATAAGCTTAAGCATAAACATATAAAAGTAGAAATGAGGGTTTGAAATCTCAAAGTGAACTCCTTGATAGGTTCTTTGTAGTTTATTTTAACAACCATGCCGGTCTCATTTTATGGCAACATTAACGTGTGATTTCTGGATTTAAAAGTTCATCTGCTGTACTGCAATGGCTTGGTAAATACTGAACAATGGTACAATGACCTCAATTAGATTATGGGAAATTTATAGTTAACCAATCTAACACCTACGTAGAACTTTTTTAATCCTTTTTTCTTGTTAATGTTGAACTTATACTCAATCACTAGTGAATCTAGAAAACTTGCTTTTATGTTTTTTAGTCCTTTTTTTATGTGGAGTCATTCCATTAGGCCTTTTTCTTATTGGATTCTCAACTGAAGATGCACCTGAGTGAATTAGGAAAAAGTTTTGTAGTGGGGAGGGGATCATGGAGAGGGATGCCATGAAACTTATCTGCATAGGATATGAAAGAGTTTGCTCTATTGGATTCTAGAAATTCATCTATTTTTATATGGTATTTACAGAAAACATCATTTTTATATGTTCATTTTTTTCACTTTCAGGGGTCAATGGTGCCTCTTATTCTGCTGAGGTTGCTGATCACAGAGGATCAAATAAGGTTGCTCGTCCAGATACTTATATGCAGTTGGGGTCATCATTTTCTCGGAATTTAACTGCTGATAATCCACTTGACAAACATGTGAGTCGTCTATTCTTGTGATTCATAGTATTTTCTTCTCTATGTTCTCTTCATATGCCGGTATGTAGCTAGAATGCATAGCTGCTATTGTACTTTGATGCAACTTATTCTATGTATTTGGTGACAGTTTTTTTCTTACTAGTTACTGTCACTATAATCACTGTGCTGGAAATTTGGTGGAATTACAGCTGTTTGAGATTTTGTTTCTGTAGAATATGAACAATGCAACAATGCCATCAACTTCTTTTGTTCCGCCCAGTGCATCCAGAAGGGATTTTATGAAACTAGATGGCTCAACTGATGCTGTGAGCAGTGGTCGTGGGGCTGGGAACAGAGCTGGTGCTTCAAGCAGGTTGATGAGAATTTCTTCAGCGAAGTAATTGGTATGGCAACATCACTTTCAGAGATTATTCTGTATTTAATGCATCGTGATTGTGCTCTACTGTTTTTATTCATGAATATTTTCATGGCAATAATTTCTATGAAACCATGTACCATCTCTTCAACTACTGATCTTTCCTTCATATTTACAGCTGTAATTTGGGGGACAGAATCCAGGATAGCAATGTCTCTGACGTGAAGTTTGGATGGCTTGATCTCTTTGCATCAAGAATGTCAAGTTACTTAAATGTATTATTCACAAGGTGACTACAAGTAGACACATTGGATGGTGCTGGGCCCATCAAAGCTTGGTTTTATTGTTGTTTAAGATGGAAAAATGATTAAGTCTGTGTTTTGTTTGTTGTTCAATTGAGGATATGTAGATTGTTTCGTTTGATCCTCAATCCTTGGATCGTGTATGGGTGTTTTGACATGTACTTATTTCATTCATAATAAAGTACTTTCCATTATTAGTGCTTTATTTTTCAATCCAAACCTTGGTTTTTTACCTGGATCAATTTGAATCTAGGTACCTGCATTCTTCATAATCTGAAAGAAGTACCAAAATCTAGTGTTTCAGGTACTGTGTCATCTTGCCTGTTCTTGTGGAGCTTTCTCAGTTGCCATTATTTTTTTCATCTTGTAATGAAGTTTTGGGAAACATTTTTCAGGCTTAACTTTATATATTTCAATTTTCAGATTGCTATAGTTAAAGTTTTGTATGAAATTCGTTTATTGAGTGGAAAGAGCTATTGGCAGTATGGATGCAAACCAAGATGGTTTGTTAGATCTTTGAATTGGTGTGTGGATTCTGGAAAGCTTTGAATCCTAGACATTGAGGTAATGAACATCTTTGCTCTCAATTTTGAACCAATCTAGATTACAATTCTTCTTGTTGCCATTCTAATTTTCCAGGGAAAGAAAGAATATGCTCTTTCACTCGTCTGTGTCAGATAATTTATGTTTCCAAAGTATTATTGTTGTCAGATAATAAGAATCAGTTGTGTATGCCTAGGTCTTGGGAAAAGTAGACATTTCAAACTGTCATCGAAGGCTGTGACAAAGAATACGACAAGTGGACTACAAGATGTGTCCGTGAGAAATTCCACAGGGATTATGGAAAAGAAGTGCTGCTCATAATGCAATATTTTTAAAATTAGTAACAGCTCTTCTTTTGTGGGTTCATACCATGTTTCAACATTTAAATTCTACTTGTGATGTATGTTTCATTATGAGTCAACTTCCACAGAAATATGATATTCTACGACACTCAGGGTTGAAGAATAAAGCTATGCAGACATGCACTATCTAGAGAGAGTTAAGCTACTACTACCAGACGAGGAGGCTGCTGATAGACTTGCAGGTAGTATGCTTGCATTTAAATAAAGCTCTGGAGTGATAATAACCAGAGTATTCAATTTTTAGCTGAAGGCAAGTCACCTATTGCGTATAGAATATCCTGAGCGGTAACATGCTTTTATAAGCAGAAATGACCGATTTAGTCTAGGTTATAGGATATTGATAATTTGCTTATTATTTGATATGCTTCACCAATAATCCCCATCATGGGTGCAAAACTTGCAAATTTATCTTTATAGGTTATGCTTGATCACCGTCGCAATTATTGCATGGAGCCTGTGGATCATTTTAGGCCTACAGGCTCCCACTTGGTGCGGCGCTACACTGCTAGATTTTTCTCTTAGCTATGCATAGCTGAGTTACACCTTTTAGACTGTTATGAGTTGAAAGGGTAACATTTCACATTTGTTAAGGTTTTGTATTCGGCGAAGCTTTCATCCACCGGGTTCAGTATGTACACCAACAGATTGTGTTCTCTTATCGGCAGATTAATGTCTGGTGAGATTATCCCATCGCATAAGCCATGCATATTCTTTAGACCCACACCACTTGCGATAGCACCAATCACTTGCACCGCCATCAACATGCCACCGCACGATCCCCCATCATAATACCTTTACTGCCACATTCACTGTCACTGATCTGTCACCTTCTAGATTCGCCACCGTAACCATTTCTTGCATACTGTTATGCATATATATATATATATCATGACAAACGGCCTTTCTTTTGCTGTTCCTTAAGGTCCACAATCCATGTTTGTTATTATTATCATGTCTGTTATTATTATTGTCTGAATGCATGTATTATGCAATAAAATGATGCGATTTTGAGGACAATTTGACCTTTTGTTCATATAAAAGGAGACCCAATTGAAGAATGCCTGATACCTTTTGAAGATCCAATTGACAAAAGTTTTAGTTTGGTGAGTACATGAAAGTTACTAATTTGAGGTTTGCACTATCATCTTTTCCCCCCCTTCACTTTCATATTAAAACGTATAATGTGCGTTTAAACCATCAACATTGTTGGACAATTTCGAGGTTGCTTTAAAATATATTTGAGAAAATGGCTCTATATATTCTTGTATTTCAAGAATTTTTTTTAATATATTTTTTATGTATATGAGATATCTAATCTATTTTTAAAATTTTCTTGTGCTTTAATATATCATTTTGTTATATTTTTATCATAAAAATAACAAAATAATATCATGTGATCAAAATACCCATTAAAATGAATTTAATGGAGATGCTAGAATATTTTTTCAAAACTTGTCACTGAAATAATTTGCATGTGCAATTTAAGAAAACTGATTATTAAATTTTAATTTATTGAATCTTAATTTACAAACCCTATTTTTCAATTTTTTTTTCTTATTCTCTTTTACAAGGGGTATTTTGGATATATAAAACTTAAACTTGGTCATGTACAAATCGTTTATGTATTTTCAATAGTGTTATGGTGAAAAATCTTAGAGGGTAAATTGGAGGGAAAATAATTTTTAAAATATAGATGAATGCAAAACAATTTTTAAGATAGATAAATGAAATGAAATAAAAAATGAAATTGAATATAATTTTTAAAATATAATTATATATGAAGCCATATGCTATCCAAATGTGTGTTCGTGCACGATCACAAATATTATATAGGTTGTTATCATTGCCTACCCGCACTGTAGCCTTTGAGGATTGCTAATTTGAGCATCAATCTTGAAAATATGGGAGCTAGTGAATTAGAGAGGGTTGTAGAGCAAGACTTTGGTATGGAATGTTTTTTTAAAAATTTTTTATTTAAAAATATGGTATATTTTTTAAATTTATTTTTGATATTAATATATTATTAAGATGATTAAAAATAAAAAATAATTTAAAATAAAACAAAAAAATTTATAAAAATAATTTTCAACGGTAAAAAAAAAAAAAAAACTCCTAATCAAGCAGCAAGGAGGGAGGGTTGATCAGAATATTTACATGGTAATGGAGTGTGGGACCTTTAAGCATAAAAAACGGGTCAGACAGTACAACTCTAGGATTAGACATGATGAGACTTAAAGCTAATGACGAGAAAACCGCTGGGTGGTCGGTATTTTCCTCTTCTCTTGCTGGTTTCGAGAAGAAAGTAGTGCCACATTTTTTGTTCTTTTGGAGTCAAAAAGGGGTCAGACAGTACAACTCTAGGCAAAAATTGGAAAAAATAAATACGATGGATTAAAATAGAAAAGCATAAAAAAGTGCCCTACATTACTCTCAAAGCATTCTCAAGGACTTTTCTTCCTCCTTTTTCTTGGATAAATTGTAAATTAGCATAGTTATTTTTAAATTTCAGTAGAATAATACCCTTCGAATTTTTCCAGATAAAATAGTATATTTTTCAATGTTGATACTGCCACGACATTTTCATGATATCACGACAACCACAACATTTAAATTGATATCACCATTGGAAACTAGTTGATATCCTAGGATTAAAATCACGAAATAACTATTCTCTGTCTGAAGGAAGGTCATCATTTGTGCTCTCCACTTGCAGCCATAACTTGGCAAAGGGATCCCGTGGTGGATCTTCGGATGGGCGGTCCGTGAGAACCTTTTCTGAGCTTTTGGCCTCTTCACAAATAGGGAGAAGAGGGAGGTGGTCTTTTGATAGTGAACACTGGTGCTGGCTTTGGAAAAATAAGTGGATGTAGCAGTAGATTCTCGTATTCCCCCTCCTTAGATCTGCAGAACTGCGGAGCATGCTCAAAGCTCTTGACTGAGAAATTTGCGTGGAGTAGCCGAAGAATTGGACGGTGGTGGTGATGTAATTGGATGATGCGGTGGAGGAACCTTTGGAGAGGCTGGTAGATTATCTTTTTTATCTTCCTACTATCTCTGCGAACTATAATTCAAACAAAAGATAAATTTCCTCCTATAGTCCAATTTCTATGCAATTATACTTGCACAATGAGTTAAGATTGTCATCTTCAAGTCTTAGGTATGCATGTTTTACATGATGCTGAAGCGTTTCATGATGGACAGACAAGTAGAAAAGAAAGTTGTGCTATTCACAAACGATGCTTGCTGCATTTTCCTTCTTACAATTGCTTAGCAAGGCCCCATTTCTCTCTATACAGTGATTGTGATGATGGAGACAAAGGAGAACACAAGTAATCATGAATCCCGCCACTCAAGAAAAATCGAGTCTTTAGCTCTGAGCGTGTCTGGGAGTGAAAATGCTTTTTCAGAAAAATATATTAATAATAATTTTTTATTTTTTAAAAATTATTTTTAAAATTAATATATTAAAATAATTTAAAAACATTAAAAACCTAATAATTTAAAATATAAAAAAATTTAAATTTTTTCACGAATACTTTTCAAACACAATCCCAAACAGCTTCTTCACGTATCAAAGCACAAAAGAGTGGAGATGAAAAGCAAAGAGGACAAAGATGCACCATCTTTATTGAGAGCCCCTTTTCTTGTATCACAGAATGTGTGCCTCCATTTTTGTAACTCTTAAAGCTCATGTTTAAATATCCCACTGTTCCCCCTCTCTTCACCAGCTTGCTTCTTGCTTTTCTCTTCTTTAGCATGATAAGTTGCACCAAAGACCTAACACTTGAGTTCCAACAAAGTGATATAGCACAGCTTGGAAGTAAGCTGCTTTTTTTTTTTTTTGTCTTTAAAGTTTGCTTCTTAGGACAGACAAACATAAAAATTATAAATCAGACCGATCTCCAACCTTCAGGATCCAAGCATGCAGTAATCTTGGTGTTGATAACTGGTTTAGGGCCAGGCACACGGACAATTTTTCTTCCACACAGCTTGAATGCCTCTGCACTATTCTTACAGCATTGATTACTTCTAACCTTCTTATAATAGTCCATGGAGCGATCAAGATCACCCACTCGAAGCATCACTCGGCGTAGGGGCTCAGGAGTCAAGCCTCTTTCCAAGAACTCAAACTTGTAGCCATTGGGTCTTCAACAAATGCGATTATTGTAATTCCACCTTTAACTGGACCAGGTTCCCTAGAAAGATACTCAACAATCGAATTCCATGCAGCAAGCAAACACTTCAAGAAAGACTAACTTGCATCCACCACTGCAGTACCAAAATGTAAAAATCCATTTCCATTATCATACTTGTTATCTTCATGATCTGCAAGCGTTACTATATCTGTCCAATACTACAGTACAGATCCGATTAATGAAAGAAAGATAATTACTCACTATAATTAAGTTCAAGAGTAAAGGTATAGTCTTCAGGTCCATATCCAAGAAAAGCATTGCTATATCTGTCCTCAGGTACATCACTTCTCCTTAAACAACTTCATTCCCCGGAACTCAGTATAAAATCTGAAAATTCCGAACATCCAATTAGCCACAGTTATTATATCAAACCTCACATTGCTACATTAACACAAGAACAAACTTTGCAATATTCAAAGCAGCTAAATAGACATACTTGACAGCCTTATCCAAGTTCCCAGCAATATAGGCACCATGAAGCATGCGTTCTTCTCTTGTCATTCTCAACCCACTCTAGTACATCTTGCTCAGCAACCTCACTACTTCTTGCTGGTACTAATTTTCCACTTAAGAACTATGATTGTGGGATATATGTGGAAAAACCCAAAATACTTAATGTCAGTTTAAGCATCGCTAATTACTACATTTAGCAGTAATAGATAAAGGGAAGGAAAGGGTTCTTGCTTACCAGTTCCAAGATGAAAGAGAGCTAGTCTTCTTGAAGGATTGTAATTGCTAGTGACTGTTTTGTTACCATTACTCTTGTTATTGGCATTGGATGGGGAAGAAGGTTTGAAGGAATGTAGGAGAAGAGAAGGTTTTTTCTGTGTTGAGACATTGAGATAAGAGAAAAGAAGAAGATAATGATGGCACTGTTACCGTTCTTAAACATTTTTCTGTTCCTTCTGTGTCTGTTTATAGTTTAGTCTACTGTCTGCCTCTCCTTCGTCTGCCTCTCCTTCGTCTGCCTGCTTGCTTGGTTCAACTGTTTCTGACTTCTCTGTTAATTGTTGTCCTCTTGCACGTTTTGCCGTTGGCATCCGGGCTGTTTGCATGTGGCCCATTTCTAAAAACTGGGCTCATATATCTACATGGATAAATTTATGGGCCTAATTCTTTTTTTCTTTTTTTTCTTGCAATGGAAGGCTGGGCAGACAATAAGATATAAGCAATTCGTGGAGCAATTGTGATCTCTTATTGGTGGGGTAGGCTATGATTGGGAGTTTAATTTTAAAAGTAAGCCTAACGGGAAAATAAAATATAAGGTAAAAGAAGTTAAATGCCAGTAATCACTGGCATCATTGTACAGTACCAATGCTGCGGGATATTATAATAGTAATTTACAGTATTTTTTTATATTTTTTATATTTTGCTTTATTTTTTTATTTTTTTCCAAACTCACTTTCCTTTTTTTTTTCAATTTTATTTTTTTCATTTATTTTT